CTTAATTCTGGTATCGTTTTTATAATTTTCAATGAACCCAAATTGTACTGAACTTTCATTCGTTTGCTTTTCATTGTCAACCCTAGATCATTATCTGCTGTTTTTGCATTTCCTTTCATTTTCCATCATGTATCTTTTTTTTTTTCTAAATATTCTGCCAATCCAGTAAGGTGACTTTAGAATTCATATTAATTACTGCAAGATGTAGGTTACTTCCACAGTATAATATAAGGAACTAACATGCAATTAAGATTTTGCTTCTACAGTTCTTCCCTCTCTAGAATTACCCGTTTTCGACTCTCTATTGGATTATTCTTGATAGTACACAAATAGGTTATAATATCTCCTTTTTTAAATCCCTCCCTCGAGAGCCTAAAAGCCTTTCAGCCATCAATCCATTTCTCTACAACTGTTTCCTGCAGAGCTACTGCAAAGAGCTGCCTAGAATTTCAGTCTTCCCTCACCCCCTCACCTCCCATCTGAAAGCGAACTCACTTCATTCAGTCCTTTGTCCCCACCACTCCCAATGACACATCGTCTGTGTCAACAACCCCATCCTTGCCAAATGTGCAATTCACAGTCCTCTTCAAGCAGTGTCTTAGTGATTCTTATAAAAGGAAGAATGTAAAAAGTAGTCATGTCACTTTCCTGCTCAAAGCTCCCGTTCCAATGGCTTCCTATCATATTTAGGAAGATAAACAAGGACCTTACCATGTTCTTTGATGCCATACATGACCTGGCCTATTGCTATTTCAATTGCTCATGGCCTGCTCTCCTATTGCCCATTCCCTCCTGTTCCACCAGCTGCCTTGTACTTCCCTCCCCAAACCAGTCATGCTCACTCATGCTTCAGGTCTTTACACTTAGGAGTTCTTTCTGTAGAGGTCTTCCCCAGGTACTATTATCATGGTTTATATTTCAGATAGGCCTTCTGTGGTTATACCTAAAACTGCACTTCTCTCTTTTGACTTCCCATCCCCTTATCATGGTTTATTTTTCTTCATAGCTCTTACACCATCTGACATACATTGTTTGTTTCTTGCACTAGAAAGTAAGGTCCATGACAGTAGGCACTTGCTCATCTTGGAACCCCAATTCTCAGAATTTTACTTGGCATATAGTTTTTTCAGAAGGAAGGGAGGGAAGGAGGGAAGGAAACAATCCTAAACTTGCCTTCATCCAGGCAATAACAAACTAAGAACAACTTTGCTTGTGATTTGTTATGACCCTTATGTTTTTCTGCTACTAAGTATCTGTAAAAACTAATGAAAATCGCCTGGGAAATCTACCAACAACTTCTCCAGGCTGGACTGAAATTCCTTTATGAGGTCAAATAATCCCCTTAGGGTCTTGTTTACAAATAATGTGTCTCAAATTACATAGTAACAAAACTCAGGTGAGATCAGTCTATTGGCTATTCCCTCTACATAGAGAGCTCCCCCTTCTCCGTACAATCGCTTTGGGGGCTAACTTCTTTGTCCTTTTGGTATTAAGAGAAAAAATGTCTTCCCCAGACATTCCTCAGACCTGCTCCGACATCTTGCTTCTCTAGCCTAACCTGCGTTCGTTTGCTATACCTTCCAGATAGCATGCCATATTTCTTCAGATCATACATCACATTCAAGGCCCAACTGAGATATGTCAGTGCCTACGGCTAGCTAACAACTTGCCATTCTTTTAGACCAATATTCCTTAAATATTTGCATGGGCTGGGTTTTTATCCTCACTGGAAAGCTTTCTCACATCGTTCTGTTGTTAGTCAAGCAAGGTCGGGTGGAGGTTTCACCCTACCATATCCCTAAACCCTAACCACCCCCTCTGAGCATCCTGGTAGAAACATTTCTAATCATATATAACACCCACTGTGAAAATACTTTCATCAAATACACCTTTCTCTACCTGAAATTATAATTAAACTCTCTCCCCTGGGCAAATCCATGAGTGGTTTATGTTTTAATCCAACTTAAGCACAGAATGTCCGTAATTATCAATTATATGATTTTTTGTTTAATGTTGATACCTCCCAGTAAACTATAAGCACTCTGAGATAGAAACAGCATCTGTTTTGTTCAACACTGCATCCATGGTACCAAAAAACGCCTGTTACATGATAGATGCTCTCTAAATACTTGAATGGACAAATGACTCGGTTTATAATACGTCAACTTATAACATGGATGGGTACATTCACAGTTCTTTGTGTAATGTAACATATGATAAGGTAAACTATTTCTCTATCAGAGACCAGATGTGTTGTAACAACTTTAAAAATAATTAGCCAGTACAATCATCTGCATTTATATGAGTTAGTTTTGAAATTGTATTATTAGCATTTTGCATACCCAACTCCCCTACCGCATTTTCTTTTGCTTATCCCTACCAGATATACAAGTCCTACGTGGGAATGGAAAAGGGCTCCCTTTATCACTCAGCCATTTCAATGCTGGCCCAGTGCCCGGCTGCAATTGTGCAAAATAAAGACCTGAAGAATTACTGAAATGCCCTTTCTTTTATTCATTCTGTGAGGTAGGCAGGCCTCCTCCACTAGACAGTTTTACCATCATCTAATTAATCAGGTAAACAATAAAAAAAAAAAAAAACTTAGAAAATGCCACAGCCATATTTGTATAATATGGTGATTATAAAAACTTAATACAAACTAATAAAAATAGAAAATAGGGGATGTTTCCAGATAATTTCTCATAGTAAACTCTCATCCCTTATAACCTGCTGTAGTAATGACTTTGAGAAGCATTTCTATACTAAGTTCTTGGGAGCAGTTTTTCATGTGTAAATTCATTTTTTTTTTTCCTTCCAACTTCACGTTTATAAGACAGAAAAAAAATTTCTCAATATTACTACTTCAAGTATTTTGGAGAGGAGGTAATAATGATATATAATTACAAACATTTTATTGATAGTTGATTAATCTAGACATTAAGCTCTTACTGAATCTCCCAGTAATCTTCACGGATAGATCATGTTATTATCCCCATTTAATCACTGAAGAAAACTTCCCATCTAAAGCAGTAAGTGACAGTGCTAAGATTTTAGATTCCTGATCTGGAATCTCATGCTCCTAATGTCCATATCACAGTCCAGGGGATTTATGATTGTATCAGTTTTTCTCCTTGACATGAGAAAACTACTGAGTAAAAAACACTGCATGAAACTAACAAATACACTTGAGAGCAAATTATACCATGAGTCTTAACCAAATTCTTCTGCAGAGACACAGTTTCCAGAAAATAATTTTGGCAATATACTTTCCATACTAATCACCCTAAATAAAAATAAAAATAACCTCTCCCATAAAAGGATAATATCAAATAAAGAGATCTCTCTTTTGTTTCCTTCATTAGTACATGAAAATTATTTAAAAAAAAGTCATGAACAAAATTAAAATCCTCATCAATCAACTTCATAAATAAAGAAATATTTCCCTTAATGGGTATGGCACAAGGATTGGATTCTATGGTATACACATATAAAGTAATATAAAGTAATACAATGTGCAAGGTTCTATTTAAAAATTCCTGATTTTTAAATAATTTATAAACACATCTTTAAACCACAAAAGAAAATAAATACCTAATGTGGCCTTCAGTTATGTTATTATTCAAATTGGTTAGCTCCTTTAGATCAGAAGTATTAGTAACACCAGAGGGGGGTCAAACTAAAGTAAAATCCAAGAAAAGACTCCCTCATCTACCTATTCACTATGATAGTGGTGGGACTAGTTCCTGGCCTTTCCCCATAACAGCACAAAAGACAGAGGTTGCCAGATAAGATCAGAATGTCTGCATCTCAAGTTTGCAATCTAAAATCTCTGAGTGCTATGAATCATGTGATTTTCTCACTTGGTAATACTGAGAAGGGAAAGTTGATTTTGTGGCTATGAAGAAACTCGATGCAGATAAAACAATAACTTGCCAAAGATGAATGCACAGTTTTGTGGTGAATGTTTGTAAAAACTTCTCTAACTTCGCAATCAACTGCTGTTTCTATGCACTGAATCCTACCTTCTATAAGAACTATAACAATCCATGTTTACTAGCATTTTATGATGGCGGTGTTTATGTAGTCATCGGTCATTTTTTTTTTAATTATGCGCTAAAATATGGTATCAACGTATATTTAGTAGTAATATGGTATCAAAGCAAAAAGTAATACAACATTAAGTCTTAACTCATCATCGTTTCTTGGTCCTATAGACAAAATACATACATAGATACTTAGTTTAAGAGGGAATGAGTCAATGGTGATCAGTATTTTACATTTCTACAGAAGGGTGACTTAGTTTTCGGATTCATGACAAAGGAAGATAAACTCAGCAGCATGATGTTATTATAATTCCTTCTAGTAAAAATTGGAAAAAATAAAAGCTCAGCAATAGGGAAGTGATTTAATGATCAACTGCCTAACAGCCATACAGAATTAGGTAAGTCGGTATTATTAGAGTATTAAATAGACACAAAGCATCGTCCTGCCTTCTAAATCCTAGAAGGGAATTTTAATACTGCATTTTGAAATATTCCATCATACCGAATCATCCTGTTACTTGAAATGACAATAACTTACACTAAGGTAAGAACTCAAGCTACATGGAGCTTTTGGAGTCAAACGCCTAACTTCAGAATTCTTTTAATGGCAACTCAACTTACAAGCACTTACGCTAAGTACAGACTGTCCTCTCCATCTGAGCACTTGAAGGTAAACATTATTTTGCAAATTAAGATATTTGAATTCTAACGTTAAACGACCGGCTGGCTACATAAAAATACAGACTCAATAATACTGAAGCAAAAACTTATGCAAACATGCAGTTAGTTCTTTTAAACTGCTCTACTGAATGGCTGATCAGCTGGGTCTCTGTGGTGTTGGGCACAGAACTTCTCTGGATATGGTGTAGTTGTATACGATTTAGGATCTGCTCACTAAATAAAAGAATAGCTACCTCTAGCGCTGAAATAAATCAAGGCTTCGCTTGTGTCCCTTACCTTTGCCATGGCTTCTCCCATCTTCCAAAAGCGGCACTACAATAGTGTTGTTCACATTTCCAGGTGACCGCACAGCTGTGTAGACAACAGGCACCGACTGTACCACCACAGGGATGCGGTGAACATGACTCAGTTTGTTAGACTGTAAATTCATGGGACTCGAAGGCGGTACAGGATGGATAATGTGCAAAAACTGCTGGCCTCCCACACCAGACGCGGAGGCGACAAGGGGCCCTGGAGTTAATACTGTTGACGAAGATGATGCTGAAGATACGGATGTTATAACAGTTGGGGATGAGGCTGGACGACTAGAAGACGATGAAGAGGTTGAAGTTGAAGAAGGCGAGGAGGCAGATGCTGTCATGGAAACTGGGGAGGATGAAACGGCTGTGGGGGATGTCCTGGCTTTGTTGATCGACAAGTCCACTGGCTCAGTTTGTGTTTGGAAGTGATCTACAGATAACGAGTCCTCCGGCGGCTCCCCTTTCACATTATTTAGCAACAGGGGAACAGCTTCCATATCGGGGTAGTTGTGGACGTTTGGAGACTGTGGGGAGAAAAATGGAACACATATTGATCTTTGTTAATCATACATTTAATAGGTGCAAGATTACTGGAGTGCTTATTAATTTTTCTCTTATTGCTATGAGATACTACTCATTCCCCAAGTAGTTGAAGGAGTGCTCTGTGACAGTCATTGTGATTAGAGTTGAGAGTACAAAAGTACACAACAGTGTAAGACAAAGCCTCTGCTAGAAAGACATTTTCACCCTATTGGGAGAGACAGACACAGTTGTTAAAATCCAGTGAAACAAGTGCTTTATGGAGCAGAAAAGAGGCCATAAGAACCCAAAAATGAATGGCAATTTTACATAAAATCTCAAAAAGACAAGCATAGTATGCAATGCGTTACCTACTTAAAACTGAGTAAATACAATAGCTTATTCATCTAAAATGACAATTCTTTTAATTAAAAAAAAAATACTATTCATTTTGTTGGCTTGACCCATCCTATATTTATGGGTCTCATCTTCCTCAGCTATAAAGCAAAGGGATTTTGAATAAATTAGTTTAAATATCCTTTCCAGCCCCACGATTCTACAATTTCATGATTCTAACCTTTACTCGACATGGTCATAATGTGGAGGAGTGAAAATACCTAGCAACAAAGTCAGGAAAAATCACCACATTTCAACTTCATATTTGGTGCAAGAGCTCCCATACCATTCTCATTACCAGCAGAGAAAAAGGGCACAATTGTTAAATTATTAAATATAAATATTTTTTAACAGTTGGGTTATATCTTAACTCTTAGTTACGACAACATGTTTTTCTCAAAATAATGTACATAACTACTATAGCATACATTTTAGGAAATAATAATTTTAGGAAAAACTTATTCTGGAAATATTAAATTGTTTATGAATTTTTAAAAATGTAAGATAAAGATAACTTTGTACAAGTTCATTTTCATTCTTTTCAGTTTTAATGAGCAAATTTTAAATAATAAAAAATCCAAGATTCTACCCAGACTAATGGACTTAACATTTTATTACTGGGCATGAATATAATTTACTCTTAGACTTATTCACTCATAAATTCAACAAGTGGTCACTGAATACCCACTTCCAAGGCCTAAAATGGCCTAAGGATTCTATTACTATATGTCAGGCTAGCCTTATGAGAGAGAATTAGACGGTGACAGATTATTTTGATTTCATCTAATTTGACCAGGGTAACATGGGCACTGTTATAATATTATATGAAGACGAAAAACTGCTTTTCAGCTTCATTATGGTATCGAAACAACAATGTCTGAAATTATCTTAAATTGTTTCATTTCATTCTTTGTTTAACAAAAGATTTTTGTTTGCCATTCCCCCTAAAATTTGAGCATACACTTAAAGGAACAAAACATGCTTTTTAAAACCTTTCTTTACAGAAATGAAATTAGAGCTCCATTCAAAACATACAATAAGCAGTAGTGCAAGGGATTTCCGTTCAACAGCAATGAAAAAAGAAAGATAATAAGTCAACAATGGTACCAGATCATCTTAAGAGGGAAATGGGTTAATGTTTTATTCGTTTTTTTAAATTTGTTTCTAAGCTAAGATGGTTAGTTACCCACAAAAAAGTTAAGAATTAGAAAGCATAAAAATAAACCATACAAAATATCTACTGCATGAAATTCTCAGTGCCAAGATTTCACTCTATGTGTTAAAACTGAGAAGTAACTTTTTTAATCTTCTCAGACAGTAAGAAACAACAACAAAAAAAAACCCCACAAACACTGAGCTACTTTTAAAAAAGCTATTAGCATTATCTATTATTATAACTAGAACAGTGTTTTAATTGGTTCTCAGCATTATCATTTAATTTCTTTTTAGAACAATATAAGATGTTTCTTATTAGTATGTTAGACCCATATAGAAATTCTTTGTTGAGGCTGCTTTCACAAAATATCCCAACTGGTTTGTCATTAACATTATAAAATACGTCACTAAGTACATGTTATGAAACACTGGCTTCAAATATAGTCTTAATTTCTCTCTTCTTAGAACTGTATTAGATACATCCAGAATTCTATTTGTGGAAGTAGAGGCTATTTCCACCACAAATTTTTCTCCTCCTACCTATCTAGTCAGATATAAGGTTTCTACATAGGTTTACAAACCAAAGACTGAGGTGTAAGTCATCACCGTAGAGACATTTCATACCGTAAACAAAAGACTACTTTAGCAAATTACAGCAATACGGAGGTAGTCAATATGGAGCTTATTTGTAGAGATGGCTTTTGAGACTTCAAGTGTTACTAAGCTTTGCAAATGACTTCGACTTCTTTGGATTATGAACAGGAGTCCATCTTTTGTAGGTATCTGCTTAATCCACCACTAAGAAAAATATTTACTCCTTAAACCCTGTTTTATAACAACAAATACACAGTGTTCCTCTTATAATTCTGTTGCATATACTAGGAAAGCTATGAAGGACCAAACATTAGGAGTCGCTAGGTATATTCAAATATGTGAGAACTACAGAGCTTTTACATGAGCTTAAACCAAAATACAGAAAATGATCACAAAGATCACAAAGATAAACCAAATCTTTGAACCGCACACATCAACTTTGGGACCTTGGACACATTATGCATGAATTTATAAGCATCACCATCACAGAGACACATGTTGGTTCCTTCTTCATATGTAGCAGGTAAAAATGTAGCCAACATGTCTCCAGGCAATGCCTCAACAGTATAAAGAGGACAAAATCCCTACTTTACCATTCACCTGTTTACAGTATTGACATAATATTATATCCTTACAGCCATACTTACCTCTTCTACTGGGATAATGAGGCAGGTAAAGCCATCCATGATTGTTGCTTCAGGCTGCACATACATGTATGGAAAGCTAGCAATATTGCCTAAATATGGTTTCAAAACATCTGTGGCATACTTTTGCTCCTCCTTTTTGGAAAGAAAAAACACCTGAAGACTTGATCCTGAAATCATCATATGGAATTTATTTCCTTGTTTTCAGAAAGGGGAAAATTGAAATGCATGGGTTCTAAGGTGAGAATCCATAAATGTATAGCTGTAGTGAGGTGACGGGAACACAGGAGATAGCCAAGAGCGACAACAAAAGCTCTGAGAAACCAAGGCAAACGCTGAATGAGAAGTGTTTGGAGAAGCTAGAAATCGAAAGGACCACATGCATACATCAGACATCTTGTGGGTTCAGCTCCAGACCATGGCAATAAAGTGAATGTTGCAAGAAAGCACGCTAAGTGAATTGTTTGGCTTCCCAGTGCATATAAAAGTTATGTCTACATTAGAACTGCAGTCTTAAGTGTACAAAAGCGTTACGCCTAAAAAAACATACATACCTTAATTTAAAAATACTTTATTGCTAAAAAATTGCTAACCTTCACTTCTAATTCTAGTTCTCTTGCTATTTCTACCACATATGCAATTACTTCCTCCACTCAAGTCTTGAATCCCTCAAAGTCAACCAGGAGGGTTGTAACCAACTTCCTCCAAACTCTTGCGAATGTTGATATTTTGGCCTCTTCCCATGAATCACAAATGCTGTTAATAGCAACTAGAACAGTGAATCCTTTCTAGAAGTTTTTCAGTTTATTTTTCCCGGATTCATCAGAGGAATCATTATGGCAGGTACAACGTTGCAAATGTAGTTTTTAATAAGAGTTGAAAGCTGAAATTACTCCATGATCCATGGGCTGCAGAATAAATGTTGTGTTAGGGACAAAAACAACATTAATCTCATTGTACATGTCCATCAGAGCTCTTGGCTGACCAGGTACACTGTGAGTGAGCAGCAATATTGTGAAAAGAATCTATTTTTTCTGTCCAGCGGGTGTCAACAGTGGGCTTAAAAAATTCTGTAAACCATGTTGTAAACAGATGGACGGTCATCTAGGCTTTGTTGTTCCATTTATGGAGCACAGGCAGAGTAGATTTAGCATAATTCTTAAGGGCCTTAGGATTTTTGGAATGGTCAATGAGCACAGGGTTTCAATTTAGTCACCAGCCGCACTGGCCTCTAAAAAGATAGTGAGCCTGTCCTTTGAAGCCAAGCATTGACTCCTCGCCTCTAGCTATGAAAGCCCTAGATGGCATCTTCTTCCAATACAAGGTTGTTCTGTCTACATCGAAAATCTGTTATTTCGTGTAACCACCTTCATTAGTGATCTCAGTCAGATCTTCCCGACAACTTGCCGCAGCGTCTACATCAGCACGTGCTGCTTCACCTTGCACTTGTATGTTAGGGAGACGTCTTCCTTCCTTGAAGCTCAAGAACCAATCTAGCTTCAAATTTTCTTTTGTAGCTTCCTCACCTCTGTCAGTTTTTGCAAAAGTCAAGTGTTAGGGCCTTTCTCTAGATTAAGCTTTGGCTTAAGAAAATGTTGTGGCTGGTTTGATTTTCTATCAAGACCCCTAAAACTTTCTCCATATCAGCAATAAGGCTGTTTCACTTTCTTATCATTCATGTATTCACTGGAGTAGCACTCTGAATTCCCTTCAAGAACTTTTCCTCTGCATTTACAGCTTGGCTCACCGTGTGGTGCAAGAAGCCTAGCTTTCAACCTATCTTGGCTTCTCACATGCCTTCGTCACTTAAGCTTACTTCTTTCTAGCTTTTGGTTTACAGTGGGTGACTCTCCCTTTCTCTTGAACATAAAGAGGACCACAGTAGGGTTACTAACTGGCCTAATTCCAATAATGTTGTGCCTCATGGAATAGGAAGACCCAAGGAGGGAGAGAGACCATGAATGTCTGGTCGGTGGAACAATCAACAGCACAATCAACTTGTGCTGATTAAGTCTGCTGTCCCATGTGGATGCTGTTCGTGGTGCTCTAAACAATTACCATAGTAACATCAAAGATCACTGACCACAGATCACGATAACAAATGTAATAATAATGAAAAGTTTTAATAATCATGAAAATTACCAAAACGTGACACAGAGACACAAAATGAGCAAATGCTATTGGAGAAGTGGTGCCGACAGACTTGCTTAGATGTAGTTGCCACAAACCTCAATTGGTTTAAAAAAAAAAAAAAGCAGTATCTGTGAAGTGCAAAAAAGTGAAGCACAATAACATGAGGTGTGCTTGTACAAGTATTTGAGACAGTGAAAAAGTGAAAGAAGACAGGGGTATTTCACCAGGAAACATTTAAGGGGTAAGAATGCTGAAAAGATTAGAAATGAACAAAAGTTGGAAATTTTAAGCACCACGTGGAAGAGAAACTTCTGTTAAAGAAACAAACAGGGACACCTGTTTGACTGTTGGTTCGAACGCCTGACTCTTGTTTTCGGCTCAGGTCCTGATCTCATGACCTGATGTGCAGGTCGACATGTAGGCTCTACAGCCCAGAGCCTGCTTGGGATTCTCTCTCCCCCTCTATCTCTGTCCTTCCCCCACTCCCATGCACATGTGCGTGCACACACTCTCTTTGTCTCAAAATAAATAAATATTTAAAACAAAAACAAAAACAAAGGATTCCGTGCTAAAATTTTACCTTTGATTACTAACCACTCAATTCTTGATACAACACTAATTAATATTCACTGCACTGTCAACTGAGTGCTGCTGTTGCTGCTTGTTTAAATAAAAGTCCACCAAGATTTTTGTCTGGGAGTGGTGACTTCAGCTAAATTTTGCTGCTGATGTTCTTCTAAGGATGTGTAAGATTTTAAGGGAATACTGGATTTCTGTCAAAGAGAATGAGAGTAATGAATGCCATAAAATATCTCAACTGATTTATCAGTGAAACTATAAAATATGTCTTTAAGCATATGCTATCATTAAAAATGGTCTTAATTAATTTCTTTTTCTTTTTTCTATTAGACAATCCAGAATTCTAATTTGGGAAATCACGACTATTTCCACCACAAATCTTTCTCCTCCTACATATGAAGTTAGACACAAGATTCTCACTTAGACAAAACCAAGTGCCAAGGTATAATTCACCACTGCAGAAACATTTTATAATGTAAATGATTACACACAATCTTTCCAGAGAATTATACAATATCCCTTGAAAGGGTAATAATAAAATAATTTTAAAAATCTCTTAACAAATTATTGAATACAGGCCAAATGCAGCAAGGTAAATGTAACAATATATTTAATAAAATGTATATCTGAAAATCTAAAGATAAATACGGACAAGATTATATTGTCATATACTATTTTCTTAAAAAGTCTGAAAGCCAGTTTTAATCATAATAATCCACTTGATAAAATATTATACATAATATTCTAGTGAATATGTTCCTTTCGGCGATCTGGGGGATCACATATGAACTTTCCTAATAAGATAATCTTCTTCCCGAATAAACATTTTAAAAATGTAGCTTTAGCTTCAGGCATTTTGTTGAATGAATGTAAAAATTAATCTAAAACCTCCTACATGTTAGTATCCAGAGTATTAGACGTGTTTCCTATAGGCAGCCATTATCATCAGCTGAACCTTATTATGGTCTGATAATGAATAAAAAGTGCTTTTAATATTGGTCGTATCTTTTAATCACTTCGTAATCTCAAAAAGTGACAAAAAATGTCTGGACGCAATCACATCTTTGGAAATACCTCCAGAGATTATGTGTAATCATGGTTAAGGACTGCTTAGACAATATTTTGCTACACGTTATCCAAGATTTACATGTCATCTGTTTTGTCTTTAATGGCACCAAGGATCTTCAGAGAAGTAGAGCATTTACACCCCCCTGCACACACACACAAACGGGAGGTCCCCAACTATCCATTTATCTATCCATTCATCTATTCATCCAGCCAGCCAGCATTTAAATAAAGTCTATTTAATTTTATCTTTCTAAACTTGTTGAGAAATAGTCTCAAGGTTGTTTTTAGGAAAGATTATAAAGTGACCTAACATTACACAGCTTGTGGTTTAACTTTTACAATAATCTTTGCTTTATAGCCTGTAGTCTGGTCATTATAGAAAGAAAATTTGATTTGGACGCAAAGAATTCATGACTTACCCTGTCACTTACTAGCTGTGCCGTCTTGGTGTCATCAATAAAATTTTCTAGGAGTGAATTTATTTACCTACAAAAGAGTAATACGATTCCAAACTCATACAATTATTTTATAGATTGTATTAAGGGTATTAACAGCTTTTAAATAATACTGGTTAGTATGGGATAGAAGCAAATGAGCTCCCCCTCTCAGAACTAAAAATTCCAATACAACCTCATCTATGACTATAACTCTCAGAAGAGACTTGATTCCATGCACTGAGCATAAAATATTCTGATGAAGGATTGCATAAATACAGCTACTGTAGAGGTACTGTGTTTGCTAACCAATCAAACGGATACATACACTACAAAAGTAGCTACAAGTCAAAACATTATGCATATTTTTTAGGGTTCATGTGATTTTAAACAAACACATGTTCTCTTAAAATACAAAAGACAGTCATGTGACACTGTTAAATTTGATTCTGTGGTTTTTTTCTTGCTTAATTAGATTGACCCATAGGATGATGTGTACAATGGAAAACATTTTAATTGATTGGTTTGATTTCTTAATTCCACAAATAAGTAACCTACATCAATCCATAGTTCAGTTTGTACCCATTATCACAATATATATTGTGTTAAAATAATTATTTTGGGATGTTGACCATTCTTCGCCAGTCTTACCATGGGATGAAAAAGCAGATCATTATTTGTTTCTTATGCCTCAGCAGAGATCGGTTTGTATAAGTCTCACTGTCTGAATTGGTGATTAATTGACATTTATTTTTTATGGGCAGTGTTAAGGAAACTTACTGTGCACGTCATGTAAATAAAGGAAATAAACTATATCTATGAACCCATATCCTGTGATAACAGAAGCTTTTAAGTTACACAGCGTTATTTTAAATTTTTTTTTTCAACGTTTATTTATTTTTGGGACAGAGAGAGACAGAGCATGAACAGGGGAGGGGCAGAGAGAGAGGGAGACACAGAATCGGAAACAGGCTCCAGGCTCTGAGCCATCAGCCCAGAGCCTGACGCGGGGCTCAAACTCACGGACCAAGAGATCGTGACCTGGCTGAAGTCGGACGCTTAACCGACTGCGCCACCCAGGCGCCCCACACAGCGTTATTTTAGATGTAAGTACATTTAAAGAGCAAAATTCCTTTTTTTGTTTTTACACGAAGTGCACAGTAGATACATGCTTAGTTTTTGTGCCTTCGCTTCCCTCCTAAGTAAATGGAATTTTAGAGCTATGAGCACCATCCCGAAAGCAAGCCATCTACAACTCTGGCCATTTTTGCTCTAAGTGTAAAAGTCACCAAACAAGTACTTGTGAACAAAGCATGCACTGTACTTTTTTCTCTGTTGTTTTATTTTACTAAAAAGGAAAACCCATTTTTCAAGATTTGTCTTACATGGGCCCGGTTGGTCATCATTTGTCTTACTTTCAGCCCAGTGATTTTCTGATTTTACTCTACATGTTCAAGGGCAAACTCTTAAATACAAATACTGTAAGAGTGTGTATTTATAAAACTCGCCAAAAAAAATTAAAGCAAAGTATACTTGAGAGACAGAGAGAGAGAAAAGTACAGATGAGAGAATAAAAGCAAAAAAGTAGAAATATGCTACAATGACTTTGACTTGAAAAGCATTAAATGAACTATCTCCTGCCTTCAAGGGGAAGATATTTGAATGAATATTTAGTTCAACTGTGTTATCTCAATATCTCAAGAGTTAGTTTAGGAAACGACTGATTCCTTAAGAAAATTCACAACATATGCATAACGTAATGGACTGTGTGCTTTTACATTTATATTTTTATGCTTTCACGCTTGAGTTGAAAATGGTAGCCTTTCAAAAGGGGTTCAATACACATTTACATTTATCCCAGATTTTCCTTATTTCCCAGTGGTCATGTTTTTCTATGACCTATTTATTTCCTAGGATTTTCACGAATGGTATCATTTATCCAAAGCACTTGGGATCTACGTTATCAGTTGGCTGCAAACCCGAAACCCTGGTTTGGCACGTGTGTGTGGCAAAGTTGGGGTGGTATGAAATGGCAAGGATTCCTCTCGTATAGGCTGGTGAAGGATAGAGGGGATTATGTGTTTTTTTGTTTTTTTTTTTAATAGCAGACATTCCTGAGCAATGAAAAGACTGACAGAAATGTGTGGACACAAACACAATGTGTTATATGTTATATAAACATACAGGTATTTAGCAAACAAGTAATACTTTATCATATAACATAATCAGTGAATACTCATCACATTTGCTTTTTTTTTTTTTTAATTTTTTTTTTTCCAACGTTTGTTTATTTTTGGGACAGAGAGAGACAGAGCATGAACGGGGGAGGGGCAGAGAGAGAGGGAGACACAGAATCGGAAACAGGCTCCAGGCCCTGAGCCATCAGCCCAGAGCCCGACGCGGGGCTCGAACTCACAGACCGCGAGATCGTGACCTGGCTGAAGTCGGACGCTTAACCGACTGCGCCACCCAGGCACCCCCTCATCACATTTGCGAGATGTGAATACTGTGCTGAAGATATGAAGCCACTTAAATCCCATTCACCTGACCAAATGATGTGAAGAAGCAGTGTCACTAAAACTAATGTCGAAAAGAAGTCTAGGAAGTTAGTTTTGCTCCTTATTATTTGTTTTTTTTACAACTGCTGTCACAGTGAACCTTACAAAGCATACAAAGATGTCTTAAACATAAATTTTATGATTCCAACTATATGTCATCTTGGAAAAGACGAAACTACGGAGAGAGTAAAAAGATCAGTAGTTGCCAGGGGCTTGGGAAAGGGAGGGGAGGGAAGAATGAGAAAGCACAGAGGATGTTTGAGGCAAACTCTTCTGTATGTTACTGCAGTGGTGGACACATGTCACCATGCACTTGCCAAAACCCACAGAACTGTACCACACAAAGACCGAAAACCTTAATGCGAAGATAATACCAACATATTGATATAGGTTCATTAAATCAAGTGTGACCAAAGTGCTACAGTAATGCAAGACTTCACCACTAGGGGAACCCGTGCAGGGGGGAGGGAGGCTGAGGTGGGAATATGGAATGTTTGCGTCCAATCTGCTAAATTATTCTGTAAACCTAAATTTGTACTAAAAAATAAATCCCTCTAATTATTTTTAGGAAACTGAATTCAGTATTAATGATGTTAGTGAGATCCAATTTTGTCTATTATTTTGTTTATCATTCTTCACAAAAGTTAATAATCCAAAACTATTATCACAACACTTGTGAATAAAAAACCGGGGATAACTGTTTCGGGCTTATGTTTTTCTATCTCATCATTAGAATTTTTTAATCTTTTAGTTTTAAATTATTTTTTATTATTCAGTGACTGATTTTTTTTTTAATGTTTTATTTATTTTTGAGACAGAGAGAGACAGAGCATGAGCAGGGGAGGGACAGAGAGAGAGAGGGAGACAAGGAATCTGAAGGAGGCTCCAGGCTCCAAGCTGTCAGCACAGAGCCGGACGGGGGCTCGAACCCATGAACTGTGAGATCGTGACCTGAGCCAAAGTTGGACACTTGACCAACTGAGCCACCCAGGTGCCCCTCAGTGACCGATTTAAAATGATAAAGTTTAGGGGCACCTGGATGGCTCAGTCGGTTGGGCGTCCGACTTCAGCTCAGGTCACAATCTCATGGCTTGTGAGTTCAAGCCCCGCGTCAGGCTCTGTGCTGACAGCTCAGAGCCTGGAGCCTGCTTCAGATTCTGTGTCTCCCTCTTTCTCTCTGCCCGTCCCCCGCTCGTGCTCTGTCTCTCTCTCCTTCAAAACTAAATAAACATTAAAAAAATTTTTTTAATGATAAAATTTCACATTCGCAATATATTAAAGGAAAGCATGTGTTATAGGCTCTTATGGAAAAAAAAAAGTTCACTTGAATCTTCATCCTAAGAATGTTCTCCCTGTGCTCATTACAGATTTTAAAATATGCACTAATGTTTACCATTCTCAAACAGATTAATCTTCTCTGCTACCAGATGGATCTTGCTTTTGATTTCACAAAATGTTCACCCCAGTTATTTTTACAGTGACAGCTCACAGTGGTGGAGTACATCAAATTGCAGAGACAAGAAAACTTGACCCAAAGAGGATGAGAGAGTCAAACGATACATTTGGAAACCCTTACGCCTTACAACATATAAAGCAATAATGCAATCCTTTTTTTTTTTTTTTTTTTTTGTATAAGGAGGTGTGTATGCAAAATGCAGGTCGTTGTGGGATCTTTAAGCAAGCAAGTAGTCAAGAATTGCCTCTATATGCTTCTCTTCTCAGAGAAAATGCCTTTAAAGAGAGATCAACCACCAGACAAAACAAGACTAATGGCAAAGACAGAAATCTACCTTTTCCCACTTAGCCCTGGCATCGAAGGCAGCTGCAATGGGAAAATGGCACAAGTAGAAAGGCAACAGAGTTTAAATGCCCCAGAACTTATCCAGGATTTAATTCTAGCTCAGCTCACTATCAAGTCACTAAAATGCTCTTGTGCAACACTTTTAGCCTCATCTTCTGGATTCCTATTAAGTGAGATATAGATGCATGCAGGTCTAAGGATCTGAAAGGATGCAAGCGTGGCTAGGTTTTGGAAGTGGTCCCCCATTCAACCACAATCGCTACAAGGCACGCTCAGGTGTACATAATTAACACGATTACATGGAGTATGGCCTGTACAATCATGCCCCCTGTTGATTCTACCAAACAGGAAGTGCATACGAGGAAAAGGGGAGAAGGGGCAGGTTGGAGCCCCAGAGACCACAAAGGCAGGGACAGGAAAAGCAGAAAGGACAATTCATGTGACTGAAAAAGATAAGCTGCCGGCCAGCCAAGACCCCTGCAAATCAGAGGAGACTTAGAATGACAGGGGACATCTCAGCTCACTACTCCTATTGGCTGGGATACTTATTTATAAGACATAGGAATTTTTAAAAAAGGTTAATAGTAATGCTGTCAAGAACGCAGTAAAATGGACACTGTATTATGCTGCAGGCTAACAGGGTGAATGGGTACATACTTTCAGGAATACTGTTGGACTTTGTCTTGAGTCTTA